TGGATGGATGGATGGATGGGTGGATGGATGGATGGATGGGTGGATGGGTTCAGTGCAGTACAAAGATGTCCAAGTATTTGTACGTGCAGTTCTTCATCGTGTCCAGCAGGTGGCAGCAAACACTGAAGACACATTTATCTGCACCTGCAGGACTAATGTGGAAACATGTAAGCAGGAGGAGCACACTTTTCACACTATGGACTTCAGATAAAAACGATGTTGGAATAACACATAGTAAAGCATGAGATGGAGAAACATCACAGCAACATTTAGTCCAGCTAGACACGGGTTTATTAATTACTGAGTTATTAATCCAAACCCTGCACGTTAGGCTGCTGCAGAGCCTTCCTTGCAAAGATCCCAGTGGGATTCACCTGGTTAAATAAAGGTTAATAAGTAATAATGCAAATTGTGTGAAATGTTGGGACAATATTGGAAAAGATAATTATATGAGGTATTGAATTATATAGAAAGAAACAGATTATTTACTTGAATTAAGGAATAAAAGCATAACGCTTGATTTTGTCAATTGTCTGCAAACAAAATTTTAAAATGTTCAAATTAGTAAAAAATAAAGGCTGTCTTTAGTATAGCTAAAACTTATAATAATAAGTGTGTATTAAGTTAGGTAAATAATCACAAAAGAGTCTTACACAGGTTTTCTTTCCAGTCATAAACATAAATCTGATCGTGCACAGTTAGAGACACAGGGTCTGACGTCTGTTGTCTCAGGTATTTACTGTGCGTCACATGAAATACAAACAGCTGGAAATTCACCTGGCGCCTGTTTAGGTGCACTGAAATGTGTTCGGCTGGACAACATGCAAAGACAAAAACATTAATTTAGCATTAAGCCAAAGCTGTCCAGGGCTGTCCTGCCTTTCCCACGGTGACCTCTGCAGAGGACTCCAGTGACCCTGAACGGAGGAGCACACATACATGTTAAGACTGACTGGGAAAACAGAGAGGAGCACACATACATGTTAAGACTGACTGGGAAAATAGAGAGGAGCACACATACATGTTAAGACTGACTGGGAAAATAGAGAGAGGGACAGCGTGGACTCCACTGCCATGAAATGAAGTAAAAAGTTCAAGGACTGAAAAGTATACCGACCAGAAGAAGAGTGAAGGTGACTTCTATGTTTAGATTAAACATGGCAGCAGAAACGGGTGGTGTGTTGTCGATTATTATATTAAACATGTATAAAACTGAGGTATGACGTATTTATATTCATTTGTACCTCGGACACAGCAGGCTCATGTAGGGCTCACTGGGATCTGGCTGTTTAATAGTTAAAGAAAGATGAAGTCTGATTGGTTGAAGTTTAGTGACGTCAGAGAGACTTCCGCCCAGTGTTGCCAGGTGTACAATAATTTGCGTATTTGTACGACAATTTTGCCCTCTGTACGATGTTCAATCAATAATCCCAAAAAAGGTCAAATATACGATCATTTGACCATTCCGTGAATGTGTGGTTGTAATCGGTTGCTATCAGCCTCTCGTAGCTGTCTGTCGGAGTTTTTTTGTGAACCCTGAAGGCATCAATGTCCGCAAACAGATGCCTGATTGGCTGAATAGTCCGCTGCGCCCGCCCCATGAGTGAGGAAAAGAAATAAGAAAAGAATCAGAGCCGGTCTGGAAGAGGACCCATCACTACTATAGTGCATCAATAGATTTGTTGTTCTGGTTATGACGGGTGTACGATAATTTCCCTCACAATACAGTAATTTTACGTCTCTAGTACGATAATCCTACATTTCTCACCTGGCAACACCGATTCCGCCTGCCCCGTCAGCAGCGTCAACATGGCGGCGATGGATGTCATTGTGGACAGTTTGGTGTCTCTGCGGAGGATACCTGTGCTCCGACAGGGCTTCCCCTGGATCTTTCTGCTGTTTTCCTTGGTGGGGTCGGTTCTCAAAGACCTGGAGCTCGTCCCGCAGACTTACTTTAGCAGCAGCAAAAACGTCCTGAACGTGTAAGTAGCGCCAAAGTTACTTTCTGTTCCTTCTGAGCACACCTGAGTCCTCACCTGCTGCTCAGGCCTTAACCTCCTTACACACGTCACAGTTCATGCTCTAATCCATCCAGGTCAAAATACAACGAAATTAACTCGGGTCCTCTGGACGGTTTCTTTTTATTGAAACGTTTCATCTTTCATCCAAAAGACTTCTTCAGCCCGAGGAGCCACAGTCCCATAAGTAGCACTCTCACATGTTGCTGTGGCTCCTCGGGCTGAAGAAGCCTCTTGGATGAAAGATGAAACCATCCAGAGGCCCTGACTGAGCCTGGTTGGCCTGGCACGCTGTGCCTGCGTGGGTCTGACTGCCTCTTCCATCTGCACCACCAGGCAGAACCCTGGTGGTTCCCTCCACGTGGTTTAACACATTTACAACAAGTTCAGTTATCATGAGTCCCCGCAGTGTTGTCTCCAAAGTGTCACAGGGATGCTCTCAGTTTTAGTAAAAACTAAAAGAAATGGAACAACCTTCACTGGCTGCCTTCAGGGTCAGACCCCTCTGGATCCGTCTGGTTAAATAAAGGTTAATTACGAAATATAGATGGGATAAATATTATCATATTTTCATAGTTTGTTGCATTGGTAGGCATGAATGGGAGCCAAACCCATTATATTAAAGATCTGTCATTCCTTCACTGATGCGTGTCTCACGCTGCCGTTCACCCAGAGTTTTAGACGAAGTGTGAAGTCTTGAGAAATGTTGAAGCTGTTTGGGCCCAACCTTGAAAGTAACTCTGTGACCTCGTCCTGCAGGATATGAAGGATCTCCTGCTCTGTTAGTTGTAAATGACTCTCAGCTGCCACCCCAACACATTTTACCCTAACGTGAGTTTGCTGTGGCAGCCATCTTGAATTGGATTGACTATAAAAGTTATTTAGACACCACCCAACGATTATTTTCTAAAAGTGTAATTAAAATCCGTCCAGTGGGTCATGAGCTATTGTGCTGACAGAGAAGCTGGGTGAACGCCAACTGTTAAAAATCAGTACCGGTGTCGGTTCCTTCACTTCGGTGTCGGTTCCTGGACGGTTCTTGTTTCGGTACCAATTTTGTAATTAATATTAATTCTAACAAGAATAAAATTACGTTACACATTACAGTACAAATTGTGAGTTTATTTTTTAACTTTGGTATTTTTCTATTCCAAGCAGTTTTCTTTCATAAAAACAAACAATTTCCAGTTCAAAAGACCAGTTACAAACCAGTGACACGTCAGTGTCTAATGGTCACTGCTGCACTGAGGACCTTTTCACTGAACAGTTTTTATTCAGAAACATCAACATGTCTGTTTTCTCTGGACACAAACCAGCTGCTCCTGGCTGATGGTGTCTCCAGCAGTAGAACATGTTCACTCTGAGGGTGTAGATGATGATTGTTGCACACACAGACACCTGGTTGTCAGTTTGACATATTGTCCCTCACATCCCACCAGCAGGTCACTGGATTCACTGAGGTAGGGTTGATGCAGACATCTGCACCTCTGTGTCTCTTCCTGAATCTTCTCTGTGGTTCTCTGGGGTTTAGGGCTCTGATCATCTCCCTAATTGACATGAGAACAAAACATCAACAATAACATGGTTGTGTTATTATTGATCAAAAAACATTATCTAGGCTGAGAGATAAAAGTTTAACTGGTCAACAAAATCCTTTAAACTTGTTATTGTCCCTGTTTTGTTCTCATGTCAATTAGGGAGATGATCACCCCCCTCCCCCCCATCTCACTTTTCTTTTGTCTGTCTCTGTCCTCACATCTGGGTCAGAACCTCCTGTGAGAACATGAACAAACAGTGAACATTAGTGAACTGTTTAAGCAGCTGACTGGATGGATGAGCACATTTTTACAAGCTTCATCTGTTACTGTCAATCTTTAGTTAACTTCTGAGTTTAGCTAGCTACGTAGATAACATAAATTTACACACTAATATCTTAAAGTTAGCGTTACATGGATTCTAGTTTAATTCACGGCGATGTACGTGTTTAGCTGCAGTAACGTTAACAAACGTAAACTCACCAGCTGAAACACAGACACAGCTCCGTCCTCGGAGTTCTTTGATGAACAGTCTGGTCGTGGAGATGTTGAGTCCGTTTAACACTCACAGACTGACTCACGCTGAGAGGAGGAGGAGAGGCTGCTATCCATCTGTCTTCTTGCAGAAAAACACAGAGCAACTTTCTGCTCATAAATCGAAGCTGTTCGACAACACACTCTGCACACGTGAACCCGTCTGTGGGCGTCACCAGCACCGTAGATGTACATTATTCATAGATTAGGTGCAGCAGCTCTATACAGCTCTGGGTGTAAACACGTAGTCTGTTTGTCATATGTCTGGTGTTTTACCTGCCTGCGTGATGAAACCATGTGACAAGTTACAGCCAATACCGAAACTTGACACTAAAAAAAGAGTGACGTTTCAATCCATACACCGAGCGGTGCAGTTTGATGGGTGCCATAAAAGAACCTCGGTTCGGTACTCAACCCTACCTCCGTCTTGTCGAAGCTCCAAAATTCACGACTGAAACCCGTGCCTTTGTCTAAAAAGTTGTTTTTCTCTGAAAAAAGAAGCTGAGAACTTGTTTACTGATTTTTTTAAATTTTTTATTATTAATTAAAAGCTTTGTGTAACAAGTGCTATGCTAAAGTGCTCAAACCACACCAAGAGCCTGCCATTTTGAGAACCGGACAGCCCGTGTCTCGTCAAGGGGCCTCCCTCTCATTTGTCTTAAAGAGACACGCTGCTCACTCCCTCACTATCCATTCTTCGGTTCAGACAGTCTTATACTGCCATCAGGTGGTCAAAAAAGGTACTGCACACAAATTAACCAATGTTTCTTCTTACACTTGACATTAATTACTAATTATTGTCAAATTTCAAACAATATTATCTTTTATCGCAATAATTTCTGAGATAATTAATCGCCCAGCAAAACTTGTTATCGTGACAGGCCTAGTCAAACTCTCACACAGTGCTCAGAATGTTTCTTGGGGATGATGCTCAGCTACTGCCAAATCAAATGTTTGCTCGGTTGTAAAAGCGACTGGGTTGAATAATTTCTGTGTTGTCCTTCAGCCCTCGGTAGAGGCTGATGTAAAGCAAAAATGTCTTTCAAAAAGTGTTGCTGCTGTTGTGCTCTTTATATTTGAACAGTGTTTTAGTTCCTGGTAAGGACACGGGCATTCATTAGACTGCTCTCTTTCTTCCACAGATATTTTGTCAAAGTGTCGTGGGGTTGGACGCTGCTGCTGCTGACGCCCTTCATCCTCCTGTCCAACTCGGCCTTCAGCAGGAACATTTCCTTTCTTGGCCGCCGCTTGTTGTCTTTGCTGGTAGCGACAGCTGTGTGGTACGTATGCACAGAGACCTTCTTCTACATCGAGGACGTCACCGGCGCTTGTTATGAAAACAGGACTTTGCTTGTTGACGAGTTTACAACCAAAGTAACGTGCAGGCGGGCCGGTTTGCTGTGGCGTGGGTACGACATCTCAGGACACTCCTTCATCCTGACCTACTCGACCCTCCTCATCATAGAGGAAACGTCTCCTATGGTCTTGTTGAGGACAGCCACGCAGTCTTCACTGTCCAAGACGGTCCTCAGCCTGCTGTACGTGGCCTTGAATGGGATCACAGTTCTGTGGGTGTGGATGTTTGTCTGCACCTCTCTTTACTTTCATGACCTGTCGCACAAGCTGCTGGGGACCCTCTGTGGCCTGCTGGGGTGGTATCTGACATATCGGGTGTGGTATCTAAAGCCTTTCTCACCAGGACTCCCTCCTCAGCGCCAACCAAAAGAACAGAAACAGCATGCCTAAGCCAAACCTCAACTTCTCTCAGCAGATGGTTGCTATTTTTACTAAACACACTCGACGACATCGTTTGTATCTGGGTCCAAGCTTGAAGCTATTTTAAGTTTTTCCCTCCACGCAGAAAAGCTGCTTTGTTTATAACGACTGGCCTGTCCTCCATGGTGTTTAACAGCTGCTCATCCTAAAATGACTCTTGGTGATCTGAGATAAAAGCAGGACTGCTCTGCTGTCCTGAGGGGTGCACCACAAACAGAAGCTGATGGGGAGGAACGTTGAGCCGAAGATCAGGTCACATTTCCAGACTGGATGAAAACGGACAGCAAGCAGATGTACTGACTGTTTCAGGCCAACGCTCTTGATACGTCCGTTTTAATCATAGCACAGTGTTGATTCAGTAAAACTTGAGTCTAGTGTGTAGCACAATCCATCATCTGATTTTAACCAGGTGAGTTAGTTGTTTCATCCTGAAGCTGCAGCTGCTGGAGCGTGGTGTTTATGAACATGTTGGGCTGTATAAAGGTTTGTAAGCTCAGTAATCCAGGTAGATAACAGCAAGAAAGGTTAAATCATGTCATCTGGACCACTTTCTTTAAGTGAGAAATGTTTTGTCCCCCATCCAGAGGACTTCCTCAGTCTACAGTCTGCTAACCAGATCTGTCCCATAGGTAGCCTTCACTGCTGTGTTTCAAGACATCCTCCTGTTGGAATGGGAGGTTCCCAGCTCAGGACACTTCTTTCATCCTGACTTACTCGGCCCTCCTCATCAGATGAAACGTCTCCTCTGGTCTTGGCGGTTGGGAATTCCAACAGGAGGTTAGCTTAAAGTACAGCAGTGAAGGCTACCTGTGGGACAGATCTGGTTGGCAGGCCGTAGACTAAGGAAGTCCTCTGGATGGGGGGAATAGACTGAGGAAGGCCTCTGGATGTGGGGGCCATATACTAAGGAAGTCCTCTGGATGGGGGTAGTAGACTGAGGAAGGCCTCTTGATGTGGGGGCCGTAGACTGAAGAAGTCCTCTGGATGGGGGACAAAACATTTCTCACTTGAACTGGTCCAGATAACATGATTGAACCTTTTTGGATGTTAAGCTGTGCACACACACAAAGTGCACGAGTCGGTTGTTAGTCCAATGATAGTCTAAATGTGGTTTTATGTTGATACAGATCAGTTTGCTCTGTTGAGATAGAGCAAACAAAACTAAGAAAGTTGTCCAGTCAGGTAGTGTTTATTTTAAGAGAACTCTTAATTTATGAAAATGTTTAGTTTTATTAGTCCTTACAGTGTCAGCACCTTGGGTCATATAAACGTAGACCTCTGAGCAGAACCTGGACGTTGAAACAAGCCGGAACAGGATGAACATTTCCCGTCATCTGGTTTCAGAAAATGTTTCATGTCTCTACATAAATACACAATGTTCTGCTCAAACAATCACCTTCAAGTTTTGACTCTTTTTGATGCAAGTAGTCACCTTGCTGCTGTGTGTAGTTGTACCCGTATCAGGTATACCATGTGTGTATACTTGTACTCAGAAAAGTGTTCCGGCACCTCGGTACTCACAGCGTGACCGTCACCCCTCAGCTGAGCAGTCAGGTGGTCGGGGAGCAAAGTCGGCCATAGATAATGTTGTTTTATTGAACTTGTCTGTCCTGATCCACTCCTTCTCATTCAAAGGATCCAGCACTTAATACAAGCAACGGGATGAAATCAACAGCTGACCAACCAGTTAGTGTTGTGGGAAAATATTTGCTGCATGCGTTGTTTGAGGAGTTGCCACAAAAAGTAGCCAGCTCTGATTTTCTAACAGATTTTCAAAGTAATTGTAAGAATGGCATTTACTGTATTAGTACTTATATTGGTACTCTCTGTATACAAGTACTTAAAGTACTTTTACTGTGTCTGAAGAGAGGTGTGCATGTTGTAATAGTTTTTATATGTTCCTAAAGGAAATCTCATGTGACACCATGACTGTGCACAGGGGAGAAGCAGGACTTGAAGCCCCGCATGTGTTCTGGTCAGACTGGTCCCAGCATAACGTGGCAGCTTCAGTTACCAGTGACGAGAGAAGGCCAGCTAATAAATCTGCAAAACTGCTTCATTTGTGTTGTGTGCAACTTCAAATGTAACTGCATTTTTAATTTAATGACAAGTGTTGCCTCTACAAAAAATGTTTAGATCGACATTAAATTGGGTAAAAATAAATTTGAGATAATTCTGAAAAGTGTTTGGAGATGTAATTATAGAAATGTCCGTTTCCCACACGTCCGTGTTTTGTGGGGAGGATGAACTACCAGTTAGTTCAAGTTCTGGGAACCACAAAGTCTCAAAAGGAAAACCAAAGTTCAGACCACTGTCACGTGATGAGTCCGATTCTGTTGAGCCTCCGCTCGGTGGAGCTGCTTGCAGTGCACCCCTCAGCTGCATGTGCACCCCTCAGCTGCATGTGCACCCCTCAGCTGCATGTGCACCCCTCAGCTGCATGTGCACGTCACGTGCCGGGCAGCGTTCCTCATGATGGAGGAGCGGCGCTTCATTTTGAGCACATGAGAACGTTGACGCCACCGATGGTGCAGAGACCACAGATCACTGCATCTTCTCATGTCAACGAAGACATTTGTGCTTGAGTTGTAGCTAACAGCTCGTTCACATGTTTTGCATTTAGTGCCAACAAAACGTTTTGCTAACACATTTTACTTGGAAATAAGTTCCTTTACTTTTTAACACTATCTTTATTAGTAAAACTAAATGTATTGTCCTGTCTGAAGAGGTTTAATAAAATACATCAGCCTGTTTCCACACACACTGCTGACCTGCGCTCACATGAAGCATCATTGTCCTCACCCTCTCGTCCTCTGACCCTTTCACCCTCTCGTCCTCTCACCCTTTCATCCTCTCATCCTTTCATCCTCTCGTCCTCTCACCCTTTCATCCTCTCGTCCTCTGACCCTTTCACCCTCTCGTCCTCGAGCTGCAGGGAGCGGATGGATATCCAGCAGTGGGTCTCCAAAACACTAACCTAGCTTGCATGTTTTTTGTCTGTGGGAGGGAACCTGTGTGCACAGGGGGAACGTGCAAACCACCCAGAAAGACCCCAGGCCAGGAGGCAATCCTGTGACCTTGCCTTGAAGCAACAGTGTTAACCACTGCTCCACTGTGCTGCCTAACATCCCCATAATGAACCTTTACAACGTTAAAACGGGCCCTTATTCAGCAGCAGCAACATATAAGTTTGTGTTCTTTTCATTTTGATTCTCTGGAAAAATGTTTTTTTATTTTTAGGCAAACTGGTAAAAGTCTCTGCTGTACTGGCCGGAGTGGGTCAGTAGATCTGTGTCAAGGTCATTCCAAGAAATTAACAAATCCATTCTTGTGTACAGTTTGTAAACTTTTTTATAGCTAACAGCCACGTGTTTAGTAAGTTTGTTGTATTTTGTGTTGACCGTGTGTACGTTGCTCAAACATCATTGGTTTTGCTGGAATAAAATAGTTTCAGTCCATTTTTGTTTCATTATTTATTTATCATTGATGGCAACAGAAGAAATTAAGGCTTATGAACAAACATCATAAAATACCATAAATAAATGCATATAGAAATATAAAAAATAAAGTTACAAAATATCAGTGAAACCCAACGATGACAGCAGGTGGATGCTGAGTCAGTGATCCATCAGGACAGAAGTGCAGAGGAAACAGCTGGACTGATGACAGATGTGCTTGAAGTAACAACTGGTGTTCACTGGGTGCTTCATGGTTTATCTCCATCATCTGTTTAGACTAGTCTAAGAAGTAAAAACTGATTTTTTTTTTTTTGTACTAATTTGTTTTAATTAAACATTAATATTTTGATTCTCTTGTGCTATTAATTATTCAGCAAGTTGAGATGTTGCCTCTTTACGTATTTATATGAACCTGAACATGAGGTGCTTCATTTATGGAAATCAGATGCTGAACTGCAAAGATCCAGAGTAATCTCTGTTTTAAAGAGCTACACTTGTCATATTTTCAAGTGGTAATTAAGAATCCTCTTTTCAAAGTATTACAATTTGAGATGCTTTTCAGTCCTCGTACCGGTCCATCCTCTGTATAACCTGCAGTACGTTCTTAAAAACTAAACACTCCAAGGACAAAATAAGAAGTGTTGGTACACGAAACTGGAAGTCGAGTCTCAGAAAATGGAAAAAATTAAATTCCAGCCAAGAAATGAAACAGAACCTGAGAGCTGCATCATCTAATGTAGCCGAGTTCACAGCCAATCCTGTTGGACGAGGAGTCAATCTGTTTTTGTACAATCATCTAAAGAAATGTGACAAAGAGCCTGAAGATCAGCTCTTTGCTGATCAACATGTATTAAAGCTGGAGCCCGAACAGCTGCGGTTCTGTTCTGCTTCACGGACCTGCTTCATGTTAGTTTGCAGGAATAAACTATGATGGTTTAGGCAAAGACAGGAAGAATAACTGAAATAAATCCTGGAGACCAGTGGATACAAATAAATAGGATTGTTTTGAAGAAGAAAAAAAGCCCCTCCCTGGGCTGCCACCTTACCGTGGTGGAGGGGTTTGAGTGTCCCAATGATCCTAGGAGCTATGCTGTCAGGGGCTTCACTTTGTCTGGTCCTAGGTGATGGACCAGACAAAGTGCAACCCAAACACCCCTATGATGAGAAAAATAAATGGACTCGATGTTCCCTCGCCCACCAAAGAGGTGACATTCGACGTCCCAATAGCCAGCTTCTGTAGCCGAGGATCAGACCACCAAGGTCCCTGTCCTCAGCAACCGCCCATCCCACATTGCACCCGACCCCTTTGGCCCCTCCCACAGGTGGTGAGCCCATGGGAAGGGGGACCCACGTCTCCTCTTCGGGCTGTGCCCGGCCGAGCTCCATGGGTAAAAGCCCGGCCATCAGGCGCTCGCCAGCGTACCCCACCTCCAGAGTGGGTGCCCAGTGACCCACATCCGGGGAAGGAGCCTGAGCCGGTGTGTGAGGTTGAGAGGTTCCAGCTAGAAATAGTCGGACTCACCTCTACACATGGCTCTGGCTCTGGAACCAGTTTCCTTGAGATAGGTTGGACACTCTTCCACTCTGAAGTTGCCCCTGGTGAGAGGCGCCGAGCAGGA